TATCTATTTTTTTTCGAACAATCATTTTAATTTTATGTGCTTGAAAATTCAAATAAGAAGGGAGAGTCTACAAGAAGAAACAAATTGTTTGGCCACGCCAATTCAGTTTGAACTTTTGAAATCATTCTTTGTCAACCTCACCTTTCTTCTTAACACTTCCATATCTTATTTTTGCAAGATCTTATCCTCGCCAATCTTTTCAGCTTCAGTTTATTTAGTTTCGTTGATCTTTCTCAATTTCCATCAAAATCGTGTATTGCGTAACCATTTCTTACAATCTTCAAACCTTTGTTTTTTTTTGTTGGTATTCAATTAGACTAGTGCCTAAATTATGTGTAACCCATGACATCATGCTTTCCTAAAGAACATAAATGATAAAACATGGAATAGTTGGTTAGAGAAATTTAATATAGAGAAATTGAATGAAAGAGGACTATAGAAAATTAAACAATATTTATTGCTACTTACCCGCTATTAAGAAAAAATATATTTTAACTCTATTTCTTCAAAAGAGATTCTCATTTCGATCAAGTCCCATCTTTTCATATATAATAGTCATTTCCTTTAAAACTAAGCTTAATAAGAAGATCGGCGATGGAAAAAAGAGACGGCGAAGCAAAAACAATGGAAGAGGCTATCGTTCCGCTGTTGAAAGAGCATAATGCGGTGGAGGAAGGTGGAGGCATGAAGAGACAAATATGGATAGAGACTAAGCAGCTATGGTATATTGTTGGACCGTCCATATTTACCGGACTAGCCACTTACTCGATCCTCATCATAACTCAAGCATTCGCTGGCCATCTCGGCGATCTAGAACTCGCAGCCATTTCTATTATCAACAACTTCACACTCGGCTTCAACTACGGTTTACTCGTATGTGCACATATTGAAGCATCTAGCTTGGCTTATATTATAACGTTTTAATCAATAAGAAAGATATTTATGCAGCTTGGGATGGCGAGTGCGTTAGAAACGTTATGCGGCCAAGCATTTGGAGCGAAGAAATATTACATGTTGGGAGTGTATATGCAGCGATATTGGATCATTTTATTCTTATGTTGCATCTTGCTTCTTCCTATGTATTTATTCGCGACGCCAATTCTTAAGTTCATTGGCCAGAGTGATGACATTGCCGAGCTCACAGGAACCATTGCCCTTTGGGTTATCCCTATTCACTTCGCCTTTGCCTTCTTTTTCCCTCTCAACCGATTCCTCCAATGTCAGCTCAAGAACAAGG